GTTCCCTCTGAAGTTCATGTGGGAGCTTGATTCCCAATGTGGCAGTGTTGAAAGGTGGGGCCTTCAAGAAGTGATTGGATTGTAAGGGCTATGCCCTCATGAGTGGATTAACCCATTCATGGAATAATGGGTTAATGGTTTAATGGGTTATCATAGGTGTGGACTGGTGGCTTTATATGGATAGCAAGTGAGCACACTAAGAAGTGTTTTCATCTAGCCCTACTCGCCATGTGATTGCTTGCATTGCTATGGCACTCTCTAGAATCCCCACCAAAAAGAAGGCCCTCACCAGATGTAGTTCCTAGACCTTAGACTTCCCAGGCTCCAAAACTGTAAGAAATAAATTTTATTTATTTATAAATTACCCAGTTTCAGGTATTCTGTTATAAGCAAGAGAAAATGGACTACTACAGTAACCAAGAAAAAGCCCAGAAAAAAGCAGACTCTTTTCTTTTACAAAGGAAGCTAAAGTGACTCAAACTACTGAAGTACAGTCTCTAAGAGTTTGTTCCTTGAAGCATGACCCATGGACCAGTAGCATCAGCAACCCCTGGATGCTTGTTAGGAGTATAGAACCTCAGACCTCAACCCAGACCTACTGAATCAGAATCTGCATTTTAATAATATTCCCAAGTAATTTGTATGCACATTAAAGTTTGAGAAGCTCATTTATCAATACCATGTTTCTTCTCTTGTTTGGTTTTCTATTAGTTCAATTTCATCTCAATTCCTCTTCTGCCAGTCTTACATTAACTCATAAACAAGACAATTGGGATCTAAAGGAAATATAAGGTAAAGCTCCATTCAATGACTGATACAATTTAGAACTGGATGACTGGATAAACAAAATGTGGTAATTTCATGCAATGGAATATTATTTGGTCATAAAAAGGAATGAAGTAGTGACACATGCTGTAACATGGATGAACCTTGAAAACATTATGCTAAATGAAAGATGCCAGTCACAAAGGACCAATACTGTCTGACTCCATTTATCTTAAATGTACAGAGTAGGCTATCTATAAGAGACAGAAATTAGATTAGTAGGGAGGAGAAGGGGTGGACTAACAGGTGCAAAACTGTGCTATCTACCTTACGTGAATCATTATACAGTATATGCATGTATTGAAACAACACACTGTACCCCACAAAAATAAATATAAGTAAAACTGAAAAAAAAAGAGATTAGTGGTTGTGTGTGTGGGAGGGGATATTGGGAGGAAATGAGGGGGATATTGGGGGGAAATGAGCAGCTAATGGGTACACTGGGTTTCCTTTTGGGGGGATGAAAATGTTATAAAATTGATAGTGGTGATGGTGGGTGTAAGAACTCTGTGAATATACTAAAAACCACTGAATTTACACTTTAAATAGGTAAACTGTATGGTAAACTGTATGTACTGATGTACATGATAGTCACTTGGGGAATCTAAAGAGAACCTAAAAGGACAGACATTTGTGCTCCAGGACACCTACAATTCAGTTAGAGATATGCTTGACTGCCATGTGTACTAAGATGTTGAGGACAGAGAAAACTGTTCTCAAATACGAGCCCCAAAAAGCCATCAGAGCAAACAACTCAATTTGTTGGCCTTGATTTTCATTTCACATAGGCAAGTCTATGTTGCTTTGGGGTGAGTAGCTGCATGGATGTATTTCTTTATTGAGGATTAATGATTCTCCTGAGCAATGTTGGGCATGAGGGTAGTTAATGTATATTAAAATAAAATTCCACTGTTTCCTAACCCTTTGAATGGCACCATCATTCCTCCAGTTGCTCAGGCTAGACATCTAGGAGTCATCCTCAACACTCCCATTTCTATTCTGTCACCAAGTCCTGTCGATTCTACCTCCTAAATATCTCTTAAACTCATCTACTTCTTCCAATTTTCCATCATTGACAACCTAGTTCAAGTTATTATCTTTTATCTCATCTACCACAGGAACCTCTTAACTGATCTCCTTGCATCTGCTATTGCTTCCTTCTATACCTTTCTCCACCCAGCAACCAGATTGATTTACATTTTCTAGTATGCGTGACCTTGCTTAACCCTCTTCAGTAGTTTCCTATTGCTCTTAAAATAAAGACAAAAATTTTGAATGTGGCCTACAAATCCCTGCTAACCTGTCTCTCCTCATCTTGAGCCACTCTTTCCCTCACTCCCTGTAGTTAGCCACACTTTACAATGCCACTAATTACCACCTCCTAGACATGTGTGATGGCCTCTTTACCCTGGCCTTCATTATTGACCACTGTCTCCTTGTCAAAATTCTCTTTTCCCTTGTCCTTTACTTTCTCACCACTCCTCTGTGTTGTCCTTTCCCTCTTACCACCCAACTATGAACATTTCTAATATTCTCTATTCTTTTCTTCTCTGTATTCTATACTGTCTTTTAAGTGAATTGATATACTTTGACTATTACTTGAGTTCCAGTCCATGTCTGCAACAGCCTACATGATATCTCTAAAGTTACCTTAAATCCAACCTGTTTATAATAGAACCTATTATTATCTTGATCCCTTCTCCCCAGAAACATTTCCTTCCAATTTTTAGTTTCAATACCAGCATCCTTTCAGCCATTCAAACTATGTACTTTAGAGCCATTTTCAACTGATCTATCTTTCAATCCCCAAATCAAGTTTCTAAATTCTATTGATTCTCCCCTTAGAATGTTTCTTACATCTTTCCATTTTCATTGTCACTATTTTAGTTCTAACCCTTATCAGTTCGTTCCAAAGACTCTTACAACTCCCTTTAAACAAGTCTCCCTGTCTATTTTCCCACACTCAGGTCTGTTCTAAACACCACTGGCATTTCAGTCTTACTAAAACTACAATTTTACCATATCACTTTGCTTCTCAAGAAGTTTCAGTGCTTTCCTATTGCCAGCAGGATAAATTCCAAAATCTGCGGCCTGTAATGAAAAACCCTTTACACTCCAGCCCACGAGATGTTAGTAAGCGTTCCAGATACCCTGGATTAAACAGTTATATGGTTTCTTTACTGTAAAACTTCCCTAAACTTTCACTGAACTAATGTGCGTTATAACACTCCAAGAGGGTAATATATAGAATGCAGCATTTCTAAAACGTATTTGACTAAAGAACTCTATTTTCATAAACCATCTGTTAACATTTCTCATGACACTAGTGTTCTGAGGAAGAGCATTTAGGAAATGCTTAGGAAGCCCCATCTTACATTTCCAGTCTTATTTTCCATTAACTCCTCTACATAGTCCAATCATCTCTTAGCCTCCCTCAGACACTCTTGCTCTCAAGCACAATCCAAGTCCGTTTATTCTGTTCTGCCTATACATAATGCCCTTCTCTTTCTCCATATCTCTATATTTTTATTTTTTATTGAGATTTAATTCATATATCATAAAACTCACCATTTTAAAGTGTTCAGTGGATTTAAGCATAGTCACAGAATTGTGCAACCATCACCATAATCACCATAATCTAATTCCAGAACTAGAGCATCTAATGTCTATTATTCTGATAAGCCCTTAATCACATACCTTGTGAAGTCATCTTTACATGTGGATGTCTTGTCTCTCTCAAAGCATTGTGTGTCCTTTAGGATAAGAGCTTTCTTTATCTTAGTCCTTATTATCATAGTGTTTTATATGTAGTAATTTTTTATAGATCCAAATGAATGAAAAAATGACAGCTGAAACAACATCCTTCACACTCTCAAGAAGCTGCTGTTCAAGTTTTCCATCACATTTCCCTTTTCAAGAGCCTGAGATCTATTGTGTAGGTGAAGGGCTTTAACATGAATGCCCCCTTTGTGCTCCATCTCCTATGCAAGAACCGAGAAAGTAACTCCTTAGAATAATCCTTTTCATTATTGCAAAGTATTGTGAAGAAATTAATATCATCTTGTGATTAGTCATGTTAAAGACCACTGATAAGGCTAAAGGACCATCTTCAAAATGTGCCATTTGTTCACAGCTAGGTAGATATTGTCAGCACTAAAGATTAATATAATTTCATTCCAAACACGGAATGATTCTGGTCTAGGAAATTAAGAGATTCAATAAACTGCTTCTTGACAACCTTCTCTGAAAAGTAGAGGTAGGTATTGGGGAGATAATTGACTGAGGACAGCACCAGAGGAAGCCCCAAGCAGGATACAGGTTTTTCTCCTGCTTCACAGAAAACAGGAATCTGTCCAATTCTTTCCTTCAGCTGAAGAGGGCCTCATTGCTTTTTCAATTTATTTATTTGTTTATTATTATTATTATTATTTTTAAAGATGACCAGTAAGGGGATCTTAACCCTTGACGTGGTGTTGTCAGCACCACACTCTCCCAAGTGAGCTAACCGGCCATCCCTATATGGGATCTGAACCCGTGGCCTTGGTGTTGTCAGCACCGCACTCTCCCAAGTGAGCTAACCGGCCATCCCTATATGGGATCTGAACCCGTGGCCTTGGTGTTGTCAGCACCGCACTCTCCCAAGTGAGCTAACCGGCCATCCCTATATGGGATCTGAACCCGTGGCCTTGGTGTTGTCAGCACCGCACTCTCCCAAGTGAGCTAACCGGCCATCCCTATATGGGATCTGAACCCGTGGCCTTGGTGTTGTCAGCACCGCACTCTCCCAAGTGAGCTAACCGGCCATCCCTATATGGGATCTGAACCCGTGGCCTTGGTGTTGTCAGCACCGCACTCTCCCAAGTGAGCTAACCGGCCATCCCTATATGGGATCTGAACCCGTGGCCTTGGTGTTGTCAGCACCGCACTCTCCCAAGTGAGCCATGGGCCGGCCCCTGCTTTTTCAACTTATATGTACTTCATAAGATCTTGCTATGGAACATTCTACAGCTGACAGACCTTCAAGGTACTCTCCTACTCTTGAGAAACATGGGCCTTCCTTAATGTTAGCAGAGCACCACTGTTTGATAATGATGGGATGCAGCACTGATATAGGTAGTGCTACAATGAGTTGTGACAGTAGTAACTGTAAAACATCCACTGTTCTTGAATTTTAGGAAGGCTACCCAGAAATGGAGATTCTCTGGCTGATGACCAAGTCCTGGAATACTGGAATATTTATGTATAGCAGGAGCAAGTATGTATCTGCTGAAAAATGGTGTGGCCTGGCATTGCATTTCCTTGACCACCTTGGCTCCCTCAAGAGAAGCTATGAAATCCAGGTGAGGAGGGAGAGGGCTAGGGGTGGATGGCATGATGTAGGGGCAGAGAGGTTATAGCTGGGCTCTTCATAAGGACTTGGACTCAACCCTACCTTTCTTGTCTAGGAAAGGATCTTGATCGTTGTTCCTGTCATTGGTTCCATAGAACTTCAATAGTTAGGGAACCTTAAACAGTAGTTTCTTAGAGTGAAAACCAGGAAGGATGGAGAACATGAGGGGAAGCACAGGGAGAGCAAATGCAGTCTAATTAAGAGGAATGCCAAGAGAGAGCTCTGGAAAGATGCATTACTGTCCGTGCACGTGGGGCAGGACTGGTCTGTGCTCAAAGAAATGACTGTTTAAAAAGGTGTTTTCTGGGCCGGCCCGGTGGCGCACTGCTACAGTGCGCTGCTTGGGAGCGTGGTGGCGCTCCCGCCGAGGGTTTGGATCCCACATACAGACCGGT